GAGGGAGGGAGAGAGAGGGAGGGAGAGGGAGGGAATACTGCATTTAGAAGTACCAAAGTGTTTCTGCAGGTTTCAGCCATTTTACTACCTGACAGGCTGAAACAGCCGCCTCAGGAACAAGGCCCCGCCCTCAGGAACAAGGCCCCGCCCTCAGGAACAAGGCCCCGCCTCAGGAACAAGGCCCGCCCTCTCAGATGCTGTAAATATTAATTCATTTCACATCATTGCACATATTTGTTGTTTGTCGTTGTCCTTCTATATTTTACATCTTGTCAGTTTATATATTTATATAAATACAACATCCTCTCCCGCTGCAACACGTCTGCACAAACCCGCAGTAACGCACACGTGATATCTGTCGCCTCTCTCTGCACATCAGGTCGGTTATTCTTTCAGAACTTCACTTTGTTTATTCCATATTTAAATGTTTATTATGTGTCAGCTGTGTGTTCGTCTGCATGCAGCACCTCATCGCCAAAGGTTCTGGTTCATGTTCAGGTTCATGTTCAGGTTCTGGTTCATGTTCAGGTTCATGTTCAGGTTCTGGTTCAGGTTCAGGTTCAGGTTCTGGTTCAGGTTCAGGTTCTGGTTCAGGTTCTGGTTCAGATTCTGGTTCAGATTCTGGTTCAGATTCTGGTTCAAGTTCTGGTTCAGGTTCTTCTCAGAAAACTAGAATATTGTGAAAAAGTTCTTTTCTTTCATAATTCAATTTAAAAAGTGAAACTTTCAGATATTCTTCATTCATTTATTCTTTAATCTCCAGATTAACACCTAAAGGGAACCCAGGTTGGTAAAAAGTGACCAGGCGTCCATATGTGGCCCCCCGGGATGAGTCTTGGTCCAGGACTCTCCAGTGGTCTGAGACTGGAAAGGGAAACCTGAAAAATGGAAACTGGATCTGTTTCTTCCACTTTGTGTTCCTTTATTACCAAAGTTCAACAGGAATGAAGCCTGTTTTATTGTTTTTGTTTTAAACTGGATTATATTTGGTTCCCTGAGCCGCCGCCGCCGCCGCTGTGGTGGTTTACACATCTGGATTTTCACCAAGCGACACAACTTCCATCCAGTGAACACGAAGAGAGAAACTACTCTGATCTTTGTCAGATCTGCAGCTGTCTGGATTTACTGTCAGAGGTGATTTCATTAGTTCAGTTTCAGTATCTGAGACCAGGACAGAACCGTCAGACTCCCGGAGACAGAGTCCAGCTGAGCGCCCTGCCCGTCCTCAGCAGCAGGTTTCTGTCTCCGTCTGACATCCAGGCGATTTTTAGCCTCTCTGTGTTTACGTAGGAACCGGAGTCGGGTCAGGACGTCCCGACTGCTTCGGGTTCCACCCCGCCGACGTGTTGTTTTAGGAGGTTTGTTCTGTAATCTGGACCCCCCTCAGGACTGGAACTGAACGGCGAGAAACGAAGGCCGACACACGCGGCGTCAGGTTTTCACAGAGATGCGATCTGAGCTGAAAGCAGCCCGTTAAAGAAACTTGTAAAGGCTCTCTTGTTGTGTTTGCAGGCGCCTGTGGTGGTTCTTTCTCTCCATGAAACGCGTCCGCCCACGTGCTGGTCTGCTGCAGACAATGAGGACATCCTACGTGGTGTATAAGCCTGTCAGTCGTGTGGACGGATGAAGAAAGAGAAAAGAGTGACGAGGCTGGAAACAAACAAAGTTTTACTGGGAGAGTTTGTTTAGAAGACGAAGGTTCACTCCTCCTGTTTAAAGGCTGTCAGACCAACAGGATCTCTGGTTTAATCTGTGCGTAGGAGGAGCTGGTCAGGACGGGCTTTTGTTCTGCGAACACTGAGGAAGAAGAAGAAGAAGAAACAAACCGACAGTCGGCAGAAAGGATTAAAACACAGTCATTAAAGAGCTGAAACGTCTGAATCTGAGTAAAAACACCCTGAACGACCTTTTCAGATGTTCCAGCTTCATCAGACAGTCGATGAGAAGGTTTCTTCTGGTCTGGATGACAGAGCGAACAGGTCGTCACGTGTGGACGCGTGGTCAACGCCCGTCGGCTGGAACACCCAGTGAAGTAAGGAGGGCCTTTCAGTCAGGACACCGGCGTTGTGAAACAGGAAGTCAACACTGACTGATTTAATTTTGTTAGGGAAGTTAACAGACGTAGTTATTTTAACCCAAACCAGGATCTTTTCCGTCCAGTCCAACACGGTCGAGGCCCTTTGGCACCATTTTCAGACGTTTAGGGCTCCGCGGTCAAGTTAGCAACGATTAGCAACAATAAATATGCAACATCCGGTTAGACTTTCAAAATAAAACGCTAGCATTTCAACACATCACCATATTAAAGTCGTGAAACGTTGCAGTTTGGTTGGGTTTAGGAAAATATCCTGGTTTGGGTTCACAGGGGCCACGACCCCCGGTCTCCCGGTTCAAAGTCCTGGTTCTGGCCCTCCATCCCCCTCCTTACTCTTTTCTGTTAGACATCATATACCTGCCTTTACCGTCACCACCTGACGCTACAGGCCCCCCCCCACTGCGCTGACCTGTGGCGCTCAGGGATCCCCAGAGACAGGTCTTGACCATGCGTCCAAATGTGACGAGTCGGGGGTGAGAACGGGTCGCCCAAACTGTGACGTTCCATAACATTAAAAATTACTTTTATTTTGAAAGTCTAACAGGATGTTGCATATTCATTCTTGCTAACTTGACTGCAGAGCGGTAACCCCGGGGCGTTAAAAAGCGGCGGCGAGGAGTCTGACGTGACGGCTGGGAGTGGGAATGTGTTCTGAAGACCCCCCCCCCCTCAGGCCAGCGTGTCACCACGCTGCCGGGGTCACTTTCCAGAGAAAACAACACGTTAGACCTTAATAAAAAACTGAGCTGAGTGCATACTGTTTACCCACAATCCCCTGCTGCTGCTGTGAAACTGGACCTGATGAGCCGGCGTCCTTGAAGCTGTGTTGTGTTTGGAGTGAGGAGTGTTTTTCTGGATTTAGACTCAGCGTGGCGGCCTCTTGCCTGACGATGACGTCACGGCGAGCTGGGTGACGATGTCGTCTGGTGGGCGGGGCCTCGGGTGGTTCTGGTGACTGTTCAGAAAGTTTGCTTCCCGATGAAGCGTGACTGCAGGATCAAGTAAAGTGTAAGCGTGTGTGTTCGGTGCCAGAAGGTTGAAATCTGAGTTGACTCTGAGTTCAGAGAGACGGTTGAGCCTGCAGCAGCAGCAGGTGGGTCAAACACCGCCATATGGACCGCACACACACACGCCGCCACTGAGCGTGTGCAGAACAGCTCTCTCTCTCTTCC